GTGATTGGCTGGAGGATCTTTGCAGTAGCATCCAAGGTCGTTGTCGTAAGTTGTCGTAAGAGATGACCAACTTTTATCTTTTCTTGCGGCAACGACTACTACAGCCAATCAAATTGCAGATATTGCAGAAAAACTGTCAAACTCAAAAACAAGGCTCCCAAACCATGTTTATAAGTAAACTAAACCAAATAAACAAAATAAACGAAGCGAAAATCACCGATACAAAATACTTGAAATGTTTGTAAACAGAACAAATGTCACTACGCGGCCACTACTGCAACCGCTACGCGCTGAACTATAAATTGTAAAAATTAGCTACTTACTTACTGCAACTGCAACTGCAACGGCTACGGCTACGTTTTAGAACTATAAATCCGACTTTAATATTAATTACTTATTAGTAATATAAGTTGGCAACATTTGGGAATAGTCCTGGTCTAGGGGAATAGTATATTAAAGAACTAATGTCATAAGACGTCATTTTGTCGCACGCGGACAATTTATAAAACGAGCGACGAAGGAGCGAGTTTTATAATGGACAAGTGCGACAAAAGGTCTTATGACATGAGTTCTTTATGCTATTTTATCTATTTTGCAAACATTTCATAAAACAAATTAATTTTATACCTTATATTTAATTTGGTCGAATTTTATTTTACATAGTTGGTATCTCAGTTTGAAGTTTGAAAGGTCATTAACCTTTCAAACATTATCACATTCTTTCGCTATGGCGTCGTTAATTTACAATAAGTATTTACAATAAGAAGAAAAAAGGATTTTCTTTGGTGTTAAACAAAATTTATTGCACGAAAAGTCTCGTAAGTACCTACTAGAAAACAAATCATAAAAATATTATAACCTATAAGTATTCAAAATTGTATTTTACCAGTAGCCAACCTATAAAATCAAAATTTTGGGTGGAATAAAGTACCTCATTAAAGAACCAAAAGCGGTGTTATAATGAAGTCATTATGAAACCAAAATAGATAAACTTTCTTATTATTAATTTTACGAAGAAAAGTTATTCTTTATGAAAAGTTCAAAAATCTAAAATAAAATCATCAGATATCAAATTTTTTCAGTCATATACGAGGCAACACAAAAAATATGAATTTGGTACAAGAGTAAAGTACCTTTATTTGTGACAATATCGAAAACTGTAATTATGAAAAGTTGTTCGGAACTACGTTTTAATATGCAATTACATTCTTCTAGGTACTGAAATTTTTTTATTTCGTACACCCTGACTTTTCAATTTTAGGAATCTTACCTTTGGGGTTGCCTAAAAGGGTATGAAGTGTGTTGCTGCTTGAACTAAAAGCAGGATCTACGAAATAAACTGTCAAGATTAAGAAGAAATATGCTGGACAAACTAAACGATCCATCCAAGTTAGGTTTAAAGAGCACTTGGCTCATGCTAGATTTGGTAGGACAGAGATTCTTGATGATGGTCATAGAATAGGATTTGACAACCTTAAAATTATTAAGGGGACATCCATTAATTACGTGAGACATTTTTCTGATAATTTGGACCCCCCTCCCTCTTGGTGAGATTTGGTGAGATGTAGTAGACCCCGCCACCTATCCCTCACGTGAGATTCTAGCCATTAAACTTTCTTTGCGGACAACATGATAAACCCAAAAAATAAAAATTGATTACTTCTTTTTGACAAATTTGAATAATAATACTTATATTCTTTGAACCCAAAAGTTGACGTGAGATTTAATGACACCCCCCATCCCTTAACATGAGATTTGGTGAGATTTTGCTAGACCCCTCCCCCCTATTTTTATCTCACGTAATTAATGGATGTCCCCTAAGGAAGTTAGAGAACCAAGTCTGCTGGATAGCTACGAAAGTTTATACATCTATAAGAATATAAATAGATCTTTAAATAGCGATAACTACGGTACCCAACTCTAGTTTATATGCATTAGTTTGTTAGTTTCTCTTTACGTGTTCACTGAAGCGGTTACGGTCCACGGTTTAGTAAACTGTGTCAGTTCACGGTTCAGTCAACCTTAGCTTATAATTAGTATAAATATGGTAGATTTAGCAGTTAGATTTAGTTACACTTCGCTTCTAAAGATGATAACATCGTTGGCGAAGAGTACTTTTAGCACTTTGTGTTTTGTTTTTTTGTTGGGGAATATTTTTAATATTTGTTTAACATATCACCAAAGATGTACCTATCTGCTTAACGATATATAGCCCTTGTGAATTAAAAGAAAAAATAATAATTTGGTCCACGTTGTACCAGCTCTCAAAATTGAACTAAATTTTAATATATATAATATACACTTCGCGTCAAATTTAACGCACCACTAAAAATTTGCCACAAATTCAAAGTTGATTTTCTCTCGAACCATCAAACCGAATTTGGTGATTTTTTTTATTAAAATGTAGGTTTATTCTTCGGTAATAATGAGTTTATTGAAATATTTTTTCAAATTTACATTTTGAGTATATACAGGGTGCACGAGTGATAATAAGTTTTTTTTTCATAAAAATGGAAAATAAATAATGGTGTGCAAATGTCAGAAATTGTCATTTTCATTTAAGTTGTCTGCATAAAGTTATTGTAAAGGAGCGCCATGGCAAGTGAGAAATTTGAATCGTGATGAATGTGTAAGAATTATTACATTGGCCGAGCAAGGATTAAGCTACCGTGCCGTAGCTCGGAGATTGGGAGTTAATCATACCTCAATATCCTGTGTTATTCGAAGTTTTGAAGAAACCAACGATCATAACAGACGTGATGGGCAGGGAAGGCATCGAATGACAACAGCCGTATATGATCGTTTCCTTTATTTGCATGCTTTAAGAAAACGATTTGTAACAGCAAGAAATCTACAGGTACAACTTAATTCTACTCTTAATTTTCAAACAAGGGTGTCCACCGTAAGAAGACGTCTCGCGGAACAGAATTTGACCTTCAGAATTCAAGCAACAGGACCGAAGTTAAATGCAAATCATCGTAGAGCAAGGCTGCAATTTGCCAGACAACATGTTGGCTGAAATATTGAGGATTGGCAGCGTGTACTATTTACAGACGAGTCCAGGTTTTGTTTATTCAGCTCTGATCGGCGAGTAAGAGTTCTCCGACGTCCAAATGAGAGATTTTCGCAGTGTAAACCACTTTAAAATCTTAGAGACCAACGTTTAATGAAAGTGGACGTTGTGTTGTGATTTTTTTCCTTATCACTCGTTATCAATAAGAAAAACTTGCTTAATCACTGCCCAGGTAGAACACTGACGTTTGCTAACCTTTAAATGACGTCTTCTGACGTTTAAATGACTACCCTTGTTATTGTTATCCTTGGCCGTTAATTCGTAAGCAATTTTTAATTTAAAAGTGGTTTACCCCTTGGTGTAACATTCGTGAAACCAGGCTATTTAATGGAGGTACTTTAGACTGGCCTGCAAATAGTCCGGATCTCAACACCATTAAGCATTTTTGGGATAATATGGATAGACGACTAAGAAATCATGACCCCTTGCCTGCCTCCCTTGATGACGTAGCAAATATGCTCCGAGAAATATGGAATGTCATTGATCAAGGCGAGATTAGACATCTCCCTGATAGCAAAATTTGATTTTAAGAATCTTCTAAGAAGATATCTAATTGCATCATTAAAAGGGCATCTATTGAATGTTTTAAAAGTCCCTAAGAACATTCTTAGCAATAAGGGAAGGTTCTAAGAATATTTTATTATTTATTACCCGGAATAATAAAATATTCTTAGAACCTTCCCTTATTGCTAAGAATGTTCTTAGGGACTTTTAAAACATTCAATAGATGCCCTTTTAATGATGCAATTAGATTCTTAAAAGCTTCTTAAAACCTTCCTAAAAAGCATCCTAAGAACATTTTAAGAATACGTTTTTGGAATGTTCTTAGAAGGTTTCTTATGGAGCTTCTAGGAAGCTTTTGTGAATATTTCCAAATATGTCAGATACCCACGTTCTAATATGTTGTATTCTACATTCGTAAAATTCTTCAGGAGACGAAAAATACGCCTCACTGTCATAATATGACAGTGAAATGTATTTGTCGTCCCCTCAAAAAATTTCGCGACATAATATTATTAATATATATTTATTTAAAAATATTAAATAAACAATTTGACCTCTAAACCATAAGTTGTATGAAATTATTTCATAAAAAGTAAGTCAGATTATAATCTATAGATTTAAGTTGAAGATAGTTAGGATTATTATACATAAAAATGTTAATTCAGAAATAAAAAATCGGTATACAAATTAATAAATATTTATTTTTAACATAAAATAAAATACCTATAGTAAAAGTATTTTTGTTATCGAATATTGTTTTAATTTGACAAATAACTATACAAAAATATTTTGGATTGTGTTTTTTACTTAGTATTTAATACTATTTACTAATTAGGTACTTAAGTATAGGTATATACATACCTTTATACGTAGTTTATGGTATATTTTACTATTATATAGGTAACTGAACTAAATATGCTTAACAGGAATATTCCTAATTGAACTTTCTATAGCAATTACTTTCTTAACATTCTAAGCATATGTTTAGAGTAGACTAATTTTTACCACTAAAACTTTGCACCTTCTAAGAACCTGCATATAGGCCAGTAAGAATTTTTTTTTTTTTATTTCTTTATTAATTTATTTTACACTATGTTATAGCTAGCAAAACAGTTCTTAAGAATTGGTACCGCTTAGTCTATATAAATTTGTATTAATTTTTCCATTTCGTTATATAATATAATCATTTTTCAATAACCATTTACATCCATCCATTCTAAAAAACTTTAATTTCAAATATCTTCAGTTTATATTTTTGCAATATAAATTTTGATTAATTTTTCTGACATATTCTTAGGATCATGCTATATGTCTTTTAAGCATGTTCTTTAGAAGAAATATAGCATGATCCTAAGAATATTCTCACTGGAAGGTTTAAAAAACATTCTTAGAATAAAGTGTGCTATCAGGGCTGGTTTCGAGTATGAGCCGTCGATGTAAGTAGAGGCAGAAATACGCGATATTGATATTCTTTAATGTTGGTTTTATTAATTTTGTTCATATTTTTATTGTTATTGTTACAATCGTTCTTTTTACATTTTTTTATTAAACTGGAGTTGTTTAATATATATATATAACTGCAGTTATATATACATGTACATATATATATATGTACATGTATATATAACTGTATATTTCTTTTAAAAATAAAGATAACGCGGTGAATTAAAAAACAAAATGGTAAGAGAAAATAGGGCTATAGTTTGATTATAAGAAACATATGCTGTTATAGCTGGTACAATCCACAGGGCGTTTCAAATTTACAGGAAAAAACTTAATTTTACTCTTGCACTCTGTATATACTCAAAACGTAAATTTGAAAAAAGATTTTAATAAAGGCATCATAACCAAAGAATAAATCTACAATTTAAAACAAAAACTACCAAAATCGGTTTGACTGTTCGCGAGAAAAGCAACTTTAAAATTGTGGCAAATTTTTAGTGGTGCGTTGAATTTGACGCGAAGTGTATAATAATAATAAAATATATTACACAGGAGAAGCAGAGAAGAAGGTGCCAGAACAACTGTCTGGCAAGCAACTATCGATTTTTGGAAACTTAGTCGATGTTTCAAATGTTGTCGATTTTATTAAACTAAACCCTCACAAGGCCATTATGTCGTGCGAGCCGATGCGGTTGAGAACGATCGTAAGTGTGATTAAAAAGTATGCAACCGAGGCTGGAGTCGACCTTAAAAGTTACTTTCCTGAAAGTTTGTTGGTATATTTTAATTATGATTTAAATGGCGATGCTCACTACCTACTGGAGCTGTTGTCAGAAATGTGGCAAGAGCGCCAAAATTACCGTCTCAAACTTTGGAATAAAGTCTTCACCATACCGGAAATAATAGTGGTTTTAACAGCAAAAGAACACAATTTTATGGAAGAATTCGATGAAGATCACAGGCACACGATGTCGGAATTTGTACATGAGGTTATAGAAAATATTGTGATTCTCGACGAGTTTCTAGCGCAGAGAATTTATAACGAAAGTTCAAGTAAAACGCCGGATAAGTGGATAGATCATCAAATTACATTTCTTGATAATCAAATCAGCATATCAGATCTCGTGAAGCTAATTAGAACCAATCCTGATAAAAAAGTAATTGATTACAACGGTAAACGAATAAGGTTACGAATAATTGCCCAGCTGATTGAAAAATATGCCTTGGAAGGTGAAATTTCAAAGGAAGACTTGAATAAATATCTTCCCGAAACTGCACTACAATATTTAAGTTATGATAAAAACGGCGATTGTGAATACGTTTTAGGTTTGTTGAAAGAAATGGCACATGAAGACGATGGTTATACTCTTGTTATCGACGGTAAACAATTTTCCATAAAAGATATCCAATGGATAATATGGAGTAAAGATCCCAACGACACCGTACAAATTAATGAACACTTCTTCAAGATGGACGTTTTCTTGAGACTTGTAATGGAAGCAATTCAGTTAATTGACGGTAATAAAACCAATACATTACATAATGCTTATAAAAATATATCGCCTGAAAATTGGATGAACCAAAAAGTTTCCATGTTTGGAAATCAAATCAGCATCTCAAATCTGATGGATATAATCACAAAAAATCCAAACAAAAAGGTTTTAAAATGCAAACCTATAAGAAAACGCATCATAGTGAGGTTAATCAAGAAATATGCCTCGGTGGTTGGGGTGTCAGACGAAGACCTAAACAATTATCTGGATTCAGATGTATCTGGAAGTATTACAGACAATCTAACATATGACACAGATGGCGATTGTAACTACGTTTTAAAGTTGCTCGAAGACATGTCGAGAGATAAACACACTTACACTTTCGTACTTGGCGGTCAAAAGTTTTCCATACCACAACTGCTGGATGTTCTATCACGCAATGATGATATTATAGAAATAAATGGACGTCAAATTAAAATGGAATTTTTCCTAAAATCTATCATAAAAGTAATTAAAAGCATTGATGATAACCAAGTGGAAAAACTTTATATTGAGACAAAAAAAATTGAACAGGCGAAATGGGTCGAAAAAGAAATTTCTTGCAAAGGAAAAACAATACGCATCGCAGATCTCATCGACTTACTGGAAAAAAATTCCGATAAAAAAGTAATCCAGTTTAACAATCAAAGCATAAGACACAGAGTCATCGCAAAACTAATCACACGCTACGCCTTAGAAGCTGGAATACCAAAGACAGAATTCATACATTACCTACCCGAGTGCGTGATGAAATGGCTTATTTACGATTTAAGTGGCGTTATGAAGATGCTAAGGGAAATGACATATGACAACCATAGGTACATCTTCAATGTTGACGACCAACAGTTTAGTATAAAAGACCTCCAATACACTATGTGGATTTATGATGGTGACTATGTGGAAATAAACGGTAAGGCGGTTAAAAAAGACGACATTTTAAAAAAGATTATGCATTGCATTAAAGAAATCGACGATAGTCAGGTGGAAAAACTGTACAGCGAAGAAACTACGCACACTGAGCCTCAAGAAGATAAAATGGATACAAAGTTAATAGAAGAAAATCAGGTTAATAAGCCCGTTGTGCAAGACAGGAAACCTATACAAGAAGTGTCGCCAAACTCATTAAAAAGTAATGATTTATAATAACATTATATTTTACAAAATAAACAAATTGTTCAACAGTAATCAAAACACTTTAATTTTAATCTTTTTAAATTAAATGCTCAAAATAACTCCCATTATTTTGTAAGCAATACGCCGTAATAGTACAGACTATTTTTAAATTCCCTTAGAACATTTTGAAATGTTATTTAAATTATGTTAAAGTTTGGGCTTTATTTGTACATCTAAAGTTCATCATGTATTGTTAGTCCCTTAATTATTCTTTTTAACTTATTTATTTGAATTTTATTTGTTTCACAGCTTTCTAGATAATAATATTCTTCATCAAGTTTCATCATCAGTTCAAGGATTCGTCAGGCCCTGGGCGGTAGAAGCCCCCTCAATATTTTTTCTCATTCCTCTTTAAATTTCCAATCCAAACTAAATAATAACTAAGGCTGTAAATTGTATGCAAATGACTATAAATGCATATTTTGACGTTGGCGCTTGATTTGACAATTTTTTGAAAATATAATTTGCAAATTAAACCAATTATCATTTTTTATCTTGCTACACACGGTGTGCCTGAACGAAGTTTAAGTCACATAAAAATGCCGCCAAAAACTGATTGCAGTTTCTTGTTCGGGACCCTTTGGTGACTTAAAAATGATATTTACCAAAATCCTGGCTGCTCCTTTTTTTGAAATTTTTTAAAAATTCATGATTTTTTTTAAAATTTTTGTTTATTTCAAAGTCTACCTTTGACAGAGTACACATTTGTACACCGATTTTTATAAAATTAGAGTATATTATTGAGGAGACTTAAAGAATACTTTTTAATACTGTTCACATCATTTGATATATACAGGCTTATTTTTGATAAAGCAAAAGCGTAATTTTATGATTTTGGCATAACACTCAAAAAAGATTTATCCCCTTTTTTTTAGATATTTCTAAGTTTATCAGGTTACAAAATGGAATTCTTATTAACCTTTAAAAAAAACTAGATTTTTAATAAAATTAAATAAAATAACCCTTAGAGAATATTTAAAATGTTGTTTAATTTAGGCTTTTTAGTAGTTTTCAATTTTGAACGAAAAACTGATTAAAGTTTTTGATCGGCACTCTTTGGAGATTTAAAAACGATATTTACCAAAATTCTAACTGCTTTTTTCAAATTTGTTAAAAAATCATTTTTTTTAATTATTTGTTTATTGCAAAATCATCCTTTGCCAGAGTACACATTTGTACACCGATTTTTATTGATTGCAGTTTCTTGTTCGGGACCCTTTGGTAACTTTAAAATGATATTTACCAAAATCCTAGCTGCTCCTCTTTTCGAAATTTTTTGAAAATTTTTATTTTTTTTTTAATTTTTGTTTATCTTACCTTTGACAGAGTACACATTTGTATACCGATTTTTATAATATTGGAGTATATTGTTAACGACACTTGGAGAATACTGTTTTCATACTGAGCACATCATTAGATTTATACAGGGTTAGCCAAAAATCACTTTTATATAGTAAAAAGCATAATGCACAAAAAAGATTTATCTCCAAAAAATGTTATTTTATTTAATTTTATTTAAAATCAATTTTTCTTATAAAGTCTTAATAAGAATCCCATTTTGTAGCCTGATAAACATAAAAATATCTAAAAAAACATGGGTTGGTATATATCTTTTTTGCGTGTTATGACAAAATCATGAATTTACGCTTTTGCTTTATTAAAAGAAGCGATTTTTGGCTAACCTTGTATATATTAAATGAAGTGCACAGTATAAAATTTTTTTTTCCAAATCTCCTTAACAATATACTCAAATATTATAAAAATTGGTGGACAAATGTGTACTCTGTCAAAGGTAGACTTTAAGATAAACAAAAATTTAAAAAAAAATCATGAATTTTCAAAAAAATTCGAAAAGAGGAGCAGCTAGGATTTTGGTAAATATCATTTTTAAGTCACCAAAGATTCCCGAACAAGAAACTGCAATCAGTTTTTGGCGGCATTTTTATGTGACTTAAACTTCGTTCAGGCACACCTTATACAAAAGTAAAACAGTTGGTTAAAATTTTGAATTGCTTGATTAAAGAAACTACGTATATGGTATAATATACCTACTTTCTTACTTACTTATTTTTCGATTTCATAATTACATATATGTATAGTCTCACGTTAAAAGTCCCCCCCCCCCCGTTTTTTGAACGAAAAAACCTATCGACATCGGATGAAGGAGTGCCAAGAGGGCAGTATCAACTTAAAAAATTAAATGCTTGTGATACCTCATTTGAAAGTTATTTTAATTCTCTATTTGATGCTATTTAAATTTTTTTAAATCCGTTTTACGGTTGCTAAGTAATTGAGCAACTGGGTTTTTCAAACTAATATATTTTTTTGCCGCCAGGGTCTTGACAAACTTATTTTGATAAAAGGTTTTGCATAAAGTGGATATGTAAAAATAGTGTATATAGAAAAAAACAGAATTTTATTAACCATTTACTGCAAAAACTGCTAAGAATATTTAACATAGTGCATTAACTTTACAATAATTTGAATGCCATGAAACATTATGATAAGTTTTATGTTTATTCCGACTATTTGTTTAAAAAATAAACTAGTTATTCAAAAACCAAAATCTAAAATTAAATTTTGCAACTACTAAGTACCTACATTAGATAATATTTGTTGTGTCACAAAAGAATTAACATTACTTATCTCAAATAAATTTATTACCAGTTAAGTCCCTTTTTAAACTGTTTAAATCACTTTTAAATGCATTCGTAATTTCTGCAGACAACATGAAGTGCCTTGGTGATTATTTTATATATTCCTCATGTATAAGCAGTAAGTCAACTAACATCTACATTAAGGTGATTTAAAAAATTTGCCATTTTTTTTTACTTTTGATATCGACACCAAAGAAACCTTGAAATTTTGACTTGCTAGGTTAGCGAAAAAAACATTGGTGGTCTTTTTTGTAAAACATTCCATTCCCTATAAAACTGTTTGTTTGGCTTAGCTTTATATTCATTTATTAGTAAGATACCTACAAAATATTTTTATCGGAATAATGTGAAAATTGCAATAGGGAGGATCTAACTCTTAATAGTAAGAGCCCATAAATGCCCAGCAACCAATTAAAAAAAAAAAGATAAGTAGATTTTTCAAATCACCCACAATCTGCATGCATAAAAATATTACATATGAGTATGCTTTTTATTTTCAGTAAATTTGATATCCCTCTTGGCAGGGGCTTCCTTCTCGTGGACCTCCCCTATGCTGCCCAAACTAACAAATGTCAAAGGCCCTGAGGAGAATCCTTTGGGCCGCCCGGCCACGACATTTGAGTGCTCCTGGATTACTTCGTTTAATGCTTTGGCCGCCGCCTTCGGCCCTTTTATATCTGCCTATTTATCGGAAAAGTGCGGCCGAAAAAAGGCCCTGCTACTTTTTGCAGCGCCCTTAATTGCTTCCAACTTCATATTCGCCTTCGCCAATCAAGTCTACATGTTCTACATCGGAAGAATATTAATGGGCATTGGAACGGGTGGAGTTTTTTCCTTGGTGCCCAACTTTGTCGGAGAAATAAGCGAAGATAAGAATCGCGGTTCGATGGGCTGCTATTTCGGCGTTTCAATCGCCATAGGAACCCTGTTTCCCTACTTGCTGGGCCCGTTTGTGTCTATAGCGACTTACAGCTCTATAAGTTCCTTGCCTATATTTCTGTTTATATTTTTCTTCGGCTTGTTTGTGCCCGAGACGCCTTACTACTTAATCTCCATCGGGAACGATAAGTTGGCCGAGGAGTCTTTGATGAAGTTCAGAAATAAATGTGCAAGCGATGTTCAGAAGGAGTTGCTCTACATCAAAAAAAGCGTGGAAGATTCCAACGCAAACAAGTGCAACCTAAAAGACCTCATAGTGGTGACCGGTTTAAGAAAAGGCTTCATCATCGGTTGCATGCTGATGGTTTTCCAGCAATTTTGCGGTATTGCCGCAGTTCTGGGTTACATGGAGGACATTTTCCAGGCCACTGGAAGCAGCATATCCGCCGAATACTCCGCCATAATAATCGGAAGTGTGCAGATTCTCACAAACCTAGTTACATCCTCGTTAATCGACAGATTGGGCCGAAAATACCTGCTGGGGTTGTCAGCTTTGGGATGCAGCTTATCTTTATCAGCACTGGGCGTTTATTTCTTCTTAAAAACGTCCGACTTTGCTGTAAGCAGTGTTTTCTGGTTGCCCATTTTAAGTTTGATTGTTTTCATGGTTTGCTACAATTTGGGCTTCGGGCCCATACCGTGGACCGTAATGGCAGAGATATTTCCTTCGAACGCAAAATCGCTTGCAACAAGTTTGGTAGCGTTTTTGTGCCTGTTTTTGTCTTTTACGGTCAGCATGACTTTTAAATACGTGGTGATGTTTTTAGGAATGGCAGGGTCTTTTTGTTGTTTTGCTATTTGTTGTGTTTTTGGATTTATTTTTGTTTTGTTCGTCGTGCCAGAGACGAAAGGTAGAAGTCTACAAGAAATACAATGCATATTGAATGGATATACGACTAAAAAGAAGATTATTATAACCTAATTTATAAGTAATAAACCATTTTTTTCTTAAGATTTTATTTTTGTATAAAAAAACAATAAAATTACTTTTTACGATAAATATTTGTTTTATTTTTCTTGATATATGTACATTGTATAAGGGCCATTCTGCCGTGCTTAATGAAAACGCCGTAACCAACAATTTTGAGATTTTTGTTTTACGGCATTTTCTACTAGAACAATTCATCCTGCGTCTATCCCCTGTACTTAAAAAACCGTATCTATATTTCATATATATTTTTGAGTACCGGGGATAGACGCAGGATGAATTTTTCTAGTAGAAAATGCCGTAAAACAAAAATCTCAAAATTGTTGGTTACGGCGTTTTCATTAAGCACGGCAGCATTCTACATCAAATTGATTTTTAATTTAGTTTTTCTAGAGCTGAACATAATTGTAGGAAGCTCTAATTAAAAGTGGAATCCATTATTTCACATAAACCAATAGAGCTATATAGCTTTTGACATTCATTAAGCATGATGTGTAGGACCGCATCTTATCCACCAAAAAACAGAAGAAACAAGCTCAAATATTCCTTATAATCTTCTCGTGGTTCTAAGTAATTTTTTTCTTAAACTATTAAATAAAGGATTCTATAACATGCCAATATCAGCTGCGCTTTCAGTAATTTAATTAAAAGTTGGTTACGCTTTCTGAGTGGTTGAATACTCCAGCATCTGGACCATCAGTAGAGCTGCCTAAAGTATAAGCTCCATCCCATCGATCCGGACAAGTTGACGTTCAAAATTTTTTTCAAAGCTCCAATGTAAAGACCAGTATTATTTGGGGTCGACTAGTGTATGTATGTATAACATGGTAAAGAAAAATTGTTAATAATTGATTTTAATAATAATAATATTTATTACATAATCAAGAAAGACGTATTCATAATTGTTTAAAAAAACTTTAAAAAATTTTAACTTATACTTTCTAAAATAAAAACTAGTTGAAAAGTAATTTGAACAATGCAGTGTTCCAAAACCTTTTAAGGAAAACTGTTTTGCCAATGTTTCAACTTGAAGATGCTGAAAGGAGTTTTTGTGATTGGTCAAAATATAAAGAAGGGCTATTGCACGAATAGTGAATCGTGAAAAGCAAATATTTATCCAAAAATTACTTAGGAACTCTTGCACCCAAAATCTCCTGTATCTCCGACATACTCTTTCCCTTCGTCTCTGGTACAATAACATGCGTAAAAAGCACTCCAACTAGGGAAAAAACAGAGAAGCCCCAGAAAGAAGGAGCCATACCTAGCGTTATAGACACCTGCGGGAAGAACATGGTGATCACGAAGGCCAGGGCCAAACAAAAGCAGGTCGTTATGGTCGACGCTATGGATTTTAGGTTTGTAGGAAAGATTTCACCCATCAAAGCCCACGGGACGCAGCTCAAACCCAAATTAAAGGAGATTATGTAGAGAATAAGGCTGAATAGGGGAAGCCAAAATAAGGCATCCACGTTAAATTTGTTGGTTTTTAAATAGAAATATAAACCCATGGAGGTTAAAGCTATGCAAGAACCTCCACAGGAAATTATAAGCAAAATTTTTCTACCCAGTCTATCGATTAACTGCGTGGAAACTATGACGGTTAACATTTGCACACCACCCACTAAAATTGCCGAGTATTCAGCCGGTATGCTGCTTCCACTGGATATAAATATTTGCTCCATGAAACCCAAGACAGCATTTATACCTGAAAATTGTTGTATTACCATCAAACCATTGCAAATCACAAGGCCTTTGATCAGTGCTTTGGACTTGACAATATCTTTGAATGAGCCGCGGTTTCCTCCGACCGTTTCAACACTGCTCATCATCGTTAGCAGCTCCTTTTGGACTTGTTGTTTACCCCTCAGCTTCACCAAAGAGGATTCCGCAGAACTTTTGTCACCTCTGGCGATGAAATAGTACGGACTTTCGGGCACAAAGTAGGCAAACAAGGTTAAGAACAAAACAAGTGGTACCATGTTGCCGAAACTCAAAACCATTACGGTTACAAACGGACCGACTACGTAATTAAACATCAGACCAGTTGTGATCATGAGTGTCATGAAGCAGTTGATTAAACCGCGGTTTCTATCCTCGGAGATTTCGCTCAAATAATTCGGCACGACGGAGTAGACGCAACCACAGCCCAGGCCCACTAAAAATCTAGCGACGAAGTACAATTCTATTGCGCCAGCAAACGCTGTTATTGCGTGTGAGACCAGCATGGGTATGGAAAATGCCAGTAAAGTTCTCTTTCGTCCTATTTTTTCCGAGAGGATTCCAGCTAAAATCGGTGCTCCCAAGGCTCCTAGACTCGTCAACGAAGAAATCCATGATTCTTCGGCAATTGTCGGTGGTTTTAGTAAAGGAGATTCAAGTTGGTCTTTTAGTTTTGGTAGAACCGGCGAAGTCCACGAATAGGCGCTTCCGGCACTGAACGTTATCAGATTTACTAAAATTTATTATCGTATCATGAAACCTACGTGTTATTTAATTATGTTTGCATACCTGAGAAAGCCGCAAAGTATATAAAAAGCCCACCACCTTCTTTATTTTTTTCCATAATTATTAACTACAGACCCCAAAACCTGAAATGACAAATTTATTTTATCTTAACTTTCACCAATTTAAGGAAAACCGCAAATAAACAAGTTGTATTTTTATCTAGCTTCATATTTGCCTAGTTTATAGCTTCTTTATTAACTTTTTTTTTAATCCCTATAGAGGGTCATAAATTATCAAAAATTTTAAAAAGTGAAATTTGCTTTATAAACGTCACAATAAATTTTAATCCTCTGTGAATATCAGCTATTTTTGATAGTCACACTTAATTAAAATACATTGGAAAATTTTTAATGAGGGATTATATTATTTAAGACATGACTGAGTTGTTTTTTTCACAATCCATTTAAAATCAATTGATCATAACAAAAATTGCTATAAAAAACCTTACACACTTTTTTTGTTTATTTTTTAATTGATAACAGTGTAACTTCTGCCTATGGAAAAATAATGAAAAAAATTATTTTACTGCATATATTTTCATTTGTTGGATTGTCTTTGCAGTATAACGTAAACAGAGGTAACTATACTAAAATAATAATAGTTGTTACAATGAAATTAATAAAAAGTGTTCATTTAAAGATCATGAGTCGGGAGAATTGAAGTCGGTAACACGTATAAGTCGTTTAAAAATACACGAAGAACTAGAAGATGAAGTTCCAATGCCGGGCACTTTGGCCAACCAAAAAGTTTTCTTTCTTGGAAATCAAGTCACCATGTCGGAACTAGTTCAATTAATTAAAACCAATGTTTACAATGCGGTTATTAACTACAACGGCAATAAAATAAGAATGAGAGTTGTTGTAGGGTTAATTAAGAAATACGCATTAAAATTTGGAGTTTCGGAAGAGGAACTTAAACAGTATCTGCCAGAATTTGCAGTGGAATATCTTTCTTATGATTCTAATGGCGGTATTGAATACGTTATAGAAATATTAAATCAGTTGACTAAGGATGATTACGATTACACCATTATTATTGAAGAAAAAAAGTTTACCATACCAGAACTTAAAAAGATATTAGAAATGAACGATTACTTCGATAATATAGAAATAAATGGCAACTCCATTACTATTGCTACTTTGCTAACACTTATTATAGAAGCAATGGAAAAAATTGATATTTTAGAAATTGATCAACTGTGTAGTGGAAATTCAAACGAAATACCACAAATTTTGGCTAATCAACAAGTTGCGTTTTATGGAAAAACAGTCACCCTATCATTTCTTATTGAATTAATTCGGCAAAATACTGGCAAAACTATTATCACCTACAACGGGAATTCAATAAGAATAAGAATCGTTGTAACACTAGTCAAAAAGCATGCTTTAAAAGTGGGAATTTCAGAAGAAGATCTAAAAATGTATCTTCCCGAATTTGCTGTACAATACCTTTCCTATGACCCTAACGGCGATTCCGAATACGTTTTGAAAATGCTGGTTGAAATGTCGCAGGACAATTATGATTACACCATTATTATTGAACAAAAAGAGTTTACTATACAGGAACTACAAACGATAATAAGGAGTAAAGGTGCCAATGAAAGTATACAAATTAACGGAAGGCCAATTTTAATTAAAATTGTGCTAAAACTCATTATAGCAGGAATGGAGGACATTGATAAAAATGAAGTTGATAAACTGGAAATTGAAAGTAGAAGCAATATTCCAAATAATCAGCCACGCATACCAGAAGAATTGTCTAATAAGCAAGTTTCATTCTTGGGAAATCAAGTCAGCATCTTAGATCTCCTTAAACTAATTGAACAAAATACTGACAAAACTGTTATCCACTACAACGGAAAACCAATAAGAATAAGATTAATTATGAGGCTAATTAAGAAGCATGCCCAAGTTCAAGAAGAGGAACTTAATACATATCTTCCTAACATAGCACTACGATATCTTAGTTATGATATAAATGGTGATTCTGAATACGTTTTAAACAAGCTGGAAGAAATGTTATATGACGATAATGAATACTCGATTATTATTAATGATAAAGAATTTACTATAAGAGATTTGCAAAATATTATAAGAGCAAATAAAAGTATAGAAATAAATGGAGACTCCATAACAATGCACAATTTATTAAAGCATATTATTCAGGCAATTGATAACATCGACAATGAAGAAGTAAATAAACTGGAAGATGAGAAAACAACAAAAATCCCAGGAAATATAAATATACCAAAAGAATTTTCTGACCAGCAAGTTTCATTCTTTGGAAATCAAGTCAGCATCTCAGATCTCCTTGAGTTAATCCAACAAAATACTAATAAACCAGTTATACACTATAACGGAAAACCAGTAAGACTAAGAATTATTGCAAGATTGATAAAAAAATATGCACAAAAAGCAGAAGTTGCAGAAGAGAACCTTAATACATATCTTCCCAACACCGCACTACAATATCTTAGTTACGATATAAATGGTGATTCTGAATACGTTTTAAACAAGTTGGAAGAAATGTTATATGACGATAATAAATACTCGATAATTATAAATGATAAAGAATTTACTATAACAGAGATACAAGAGATTATAAGAAGAAATAAAAGTATAGAAATAAATGGAGAAACCATATCAATGCACAATTTATTAAGGCATATTATTCAGGCAATTGATAACATTGACAGTGAGGAAGTAAATAAACTGGAAGATGAAAATACAAAAAAAATCCCAGCTAATATAAATATGCCATTTAATACGCCAATTATGCCAAAAGAATTTTCTGACCAGCAAGTTTCATTCTTTGGAAATCAAGTCAGCATCTCAGATCTCCTTGAGTTAATGCAACAAAATTCTAACAAACCAGTTATACACTATAACGGAAAAGCAGTAAGACTAAGAATTATTGCAAGATTAATAAAAAAATATGCACAAAAATCTAAAGTTACAGAAGAGAACCTTAATACATATCTTCCCAACACCGCTCTACAATATCTTGGTTACGATATAAATGGTGATTCCGAATATGTTTTAAACAAGTTGGAAGAAATGTTATATGACGATAATGAATATTCGATTATTATAAATAATAAAGAATTTACCATAAGAGATTTGCAAAAGATTATAAGAGCAAATAAAAGTATAGAAATAAATGGAGACTCCATAACAATGCACAATTTATTAAAGCATATTATTCAGGCAATTGATAACATTGACAGTGAGGAAGTAAATAAGCTGGAATATGAAAATACAAAAAAAATCCCAGCTAATATAAATATGCCACTTAGTACGCCAGTTATGCCAAACGAATTTTCTGATCAACAAGTTTTATTCTTTGGAAATCAAGTCAGCATTTCAGATCTCCTTGATTTAATCCAACAAAATACTAACAAACCAGTTATACACTATAACGGAAAACCAGTAAGACTAAGAATTATTGCAAGATTGATAAAAAAATATGCACAAAAATCTAAAGTTACAGAAGAGAACCTTAATACATATCTTCCCAACACCGCACTACAATATCTTGGTTACGATATAAATGGTGATTCCGAATATGTTTTAAACAAGTTGGAAGAAATGTTATATGACGATAATGAATATTCGATTATTATAAATAATAAAGAATTTACTATAAAAGATTTACAAAAGATTATAAAAAGAAATAAAAGTATAGAAATAAATGGAGACTCCATAACAATGCACAATTTATTAAAGCATATTATTCAGGCAATTGATAAAATCGACAATGAAGAAGTAAATAAACTGGAAGATGAAAAAACAACAAAAATCCCAGGTAATAATATCCCAGGAAATATAAATATGCCAAAAGAATTTTCTGACCAGCAAGTTTCATTCTTTGGAAATCAAGTCAGCATCTCAGATCTCCTTGAGTTAATCCAACAAAATACTAATAAACCAGTTATACACTATAACGGAAAACCAGTAAGACTAAGAATTATTGCAAGATTGATAAAAAAATATGCACAAAAATCTAAAGTTACAGAAGAAAACCTAAATACATATCTTCCTAACACGGCACTACAATATCTTAGTTATGATATAAATGGCGATTCAGAATACGTTTTAAACAAGTTGGAAGAAATGTTATATGACAATAATGAATACTCGATTATTATTAATGATAAAGAGTTTACCATACCAGATTTACAAAAGATTATAAGAACAAATAAAAGTATAGAAATAAATGGAAACTCCATAACAATGCACAATTTATTAAGGCATATTATTCATGCAATTGATAACATTGACAGTGAGGAAGTTAATAAACTGGAAGATGAAAATACAACAAAAATTCCAGGTAATATGAATATGCCATCAAGAATGTCAATTATGCCAAAAGAATTGTCTGACCAGCAAATTTCATTCTTTGGAAATCAAGTCAGCATCTTAGATCTCCTTGAGTTAATCCAACAAAATACTAACAACCCTGTTATCCATTATAACGGAAAAGCAGTAAGACTAAGAATTATTGCAAAATTGATAAAAAAATATGCACAAAAAGCTAAAGTTCCAGAAGAGAACCTTAATTCATATCTTCCTAACACAGCACTACAATATCTTAGTTATGATATAAATGGCGATTCAGAATACGTTTTAAACAAGTTGGAAGAAATGTTATATGACAATAATGAATACTCGATTATTATTAATGATAAAGAATTTACCATAACAGATTTGCAAAAGATTATAAGAAGAAATAAAAGTATAGAAATAAATGGAGAATCCATAACAATGCACAATTTATTAAGGAATGTTATTCAGGCAATTGATAACATTGACAGTGAGGAAGTTAATAAACTGGAAGATGAAAATACAAAAAAAATCCCAGCTAATATAAATATGCCACTTAGCACGCCAATTATTCCAAAAGAATTTTCTGACCAGCAAGTTTCATTTTTTGGAAATCAAGTCAGCATCTCAGATCTCCTTGAGTTAATCCAACAAAATACTAATAAACCAGTTATACACTATAACGGAAAACCAGTAAGACTAAGAATTATTGCAAGATTGATTAAAAAATATGCACAAAAAGCAGAAGTTGCAGAAGAGAACCTTAATACATATCTTCCCAATACCGCACTACAATATCTTAGTTACGATATAAATGGTGATTCTGAATACGTTTTAAACAAGTTGGAAGAAATGTTATATGACGATAATAAATACTCGATAAT